CTTGATTTGCCCTGCTGAAATTGGGGTGTGTCTTATACACATGGGCATCCTATATGCTGTCAAATACAGTATATATTCAAGTATATTTGGTTGAATAATCTGGACATATTATATCTATTTTTATTTTAATCCTCTCAAATTCTTGAAGCAACTTCTTAATGTTGATATTAATAATGATGTCCAAGGAATTAACTTTAATTGTAATTTTTTGTTTAAATTACAATTTAAGTATTTTAAAACATTGCTATTATAGACAATTAAATTAAAGTTACCTCCATTAGTAAAACATAATAGCTTTAACAGTTAATTTTTAAATTAATTATAACGAAGCATATTCATACATATTTGTAATTATAACAGACTGCATTTCATGCACATTTATAAAAAAATTTACAGCTATCAATTTGTTTTTTTAATTTAATTTTTTGTCTTAGCAATTCACCCCTGAAGATGATCTTGGATGGGATTGAAAGTACTTGGGAAAATAAATGAAATTAAAAAAACTATGGAACTTTCCTTAATGAATTTGATATCAACATTAAGAAATTGATCCAAGAATTCAAGAAGATTAAAATAAAAAGAAAGAGACATAAAATGTCCAGAAATCTTTTAAATTCTGATATTAATATTATATTTAATCTATTTGCTTGAAATCAAAACTAAAATAAAAGCAGCAAAAAAGATTTTTCATTTTTAAAAATACATTTTAAACCTTAGGTATTGCAATTTTTGTGGAGGTCATTACACTAGACCATTTCAAACATCCATCTTCACAAAGAATACCGGGATGAAGACAAAGAAATTATAAGTACCACATGACATTGTTTTTTGATAATGATTGTGTAAGTTGAAAGTACTTGAATAAAATAACAAAATATGAATTTCAGACAGTGTATCTACAACTTTGAGTGCAATACTGAACACCTTATCCAAAACTGGAAAAAATACAATAAAAAATTAAACAGATAGACTTTGTTAGTTCTTTTTAATCAAACTTGTTTGTATATATATATGTATATATATATATGTTTTGAACAATAAAAAATATTAAAAAATTAAAATCTCCAGACACACTGGGTTGTATGCTAATATTCTTTCATTTTTATTATTTCAGTTAGATTCCTTGACTAGTTTCAGCCAACATGGCCATCATCAGGAGAAAAAAAATTCTGCTTGTTAGTAGCAGTGAACTACAGAAATGAATGACTTGATGAAGAAAATTAACTTTATTATGTAGTTTTCATTTGTTTTTTATTTTTTATTTATTTTTTTAACATGAATTTTGATCAGTCCTTGTGTTGGTCAAACAGTCTCTTTTAAGCTGTTATTTAAGATAAGAGCTGGATGGATTCATGCTGCTCTGAATTCCCTTGGTCATTTTGACAGTTTCCAGTTCCTGGAAAGGGGTTGTGTCTCTGTTAAGTGTGTGTTATTTGGTTCTTAGGGAGTGAGTGAGTATGATGTGTGTAAGTGTATATATTAGTATGGGTGTGTATAAGTGTGAAGCCGCAACACCTCTACAAGCATGTCTGTCTTGTATGGGTAAGAAATGTGGCTAGCGGTTATTTTAGTGTGTAGGGTCATTTATAGTTTTCTGTTTTCATCACTGTAAATGCTGGTGTCTAAAAATGTTACTGATCTTGTGGAATTTTCATAGTTGTGTACTGTGTTTAGGGTCATGAGGAATTGGGTAAGTTTGTCGTCACTGCCCGTGTATAAAAAGAATATATCATTGATATATCTTGCATAGAATATGCAGTTGCTACTGATGAGGGGATAGATATGGGTCTCCTCAAATTTTCCCATGAATATTGTAGCATATAATGGAGCTGCAATGGTGCTCATGGCACAGCCTCTTACTTGCAGGTAAGTGCACTCCATTAAAGTTGAAAGTATTCAATGTAAGAATATGCTCCATGAGCTTTATGATAACTTCTGTGAGGTTGGTCTTGCTATCTTCTCTTAGTAAGTACTTCCTGAAGGGCAGTTAGCTCTTTGATGTGCTTAATGTTTGAATAAAATGATCTTATGTCCATAGTCACTAGAATAGCATTTTCTGGCACTGTTTGTATGTGATTAATTTTGTTTAGTAGATCTGTTGTGTCTCTGATGTAGGATTTTAATTCCTTAGCTAGAAGTTATATGTATTTGAAAATTTTGGTTGTGGCAGTTGAATGACCAGCCTCCCTGGGTTGTTGTTTTTGTGTATGTTGGGAAGGAGATAGAAGCGAGAAGGTGTGATGTTTGTGGGTGTTTGTGTTGTGCATATTTCCTTGTTGATTAGATTTTTGTGAAGCATCATGTTTAGTGAGCTAGTTAATTCTTTTTAGTATTTGGGAAGAGGGTATGTAGATAAGTTTTTATAGGTTTCTTTGTCGGCTTGCTGATTGCTGGCCTCTTTAATGTATTCTTTGATTCCACAGATCACTGTGGCACCCCCTTTGTCAGCCTGTGTTATGATTAGGTCATCTCTATGTGTCAGCATGTCAAGGGCTATACGTTCCCCTTCAGTAATATTGTTGTGTGGCAGCTTATGTGCTATTGTTTTCTTTATGTCATTTGCTACTGTCATTTCAAATGTCTGTATAGTAATGTATGTGTTTTATTTTTCTTTCATATGTACTATAGATTTCTTTTTTCGAGTTAGTGTGATCATTTTGGCTGTTCTTACACACTCTATGTGGCAAAAAGAAATCTCTTGTATACATACAAGAAAAATATAATAAAATGATTATTAGTGACTTCTTTGTTGTTTTCAATTACACCTGTATAAAAAAGTGGCTGCTAACCATAAAAAACACAATTACACACACACACACATATATGAATAAAATAACGAAGGAAAACTTATATAAAACAACACACTAAATGCATTATTTGCTCACTATGAGTCTGACCATTAATTTGATTTAAAAAATACTACTCTAATTAAAAGAAGAAGCAATTTACTTAGATGAAAATGTACAGAAAGTATTTAATCACTTGTATAAGTAATGCATTTGATAAATTGTTATGTATATGATCCTTTTTGTGTTAATGAATGTGTTTTTCTTTTAATTTCTGTAAGTTCCCCAATATATTGTTAGGAACAGTTGTGATAGTTTATTTTATATATACCTGCTTCAGAATTTTTGTTGTTATAAGCATATTTGATAAAACGCATAGCTAAAGAAAAGTTTTCCTTTTTTTTTTATTCATATTGTCTTTTTATAGGCATATTTTTATTTATATCTGAATTTTTACACACACACACACACACACACACACATATATATATATATATGATAAGGAACAGAGTATCACATCACATATTGCCTGAGGGTTCTGAGACAACATTAACATCTAAGCGTCTACATAAAACTTTTTATTATGGAAAGCAGTAACATCTGAGTATTGTTTTACATCTATTTTATATATATATATATATTTGATTGGTCATTTCAGCTCATGTGACAGTGTTTCCCCTTATGAGGGGTGGTTAATTAATTTGAACCTTTTAAAACCTTTATTCTACAATCTACATTCAATATCATCACTTGATAAAGACACCAGAGGTGTAATAATTTTATAATATATTTATATTATAATTTTTAAATAAATAATTATATTTGCTCTACTCTATATTGAGCACTCTTTTAAGGATAGTAATTGTCGGTTATTGGAATTTATTCCATATACACCAATCATATACTTATATATATATATATATATATATATGAACAGACTGAGTTGGATAGACAGATAGATATCATCTATATATATATATATATATATATATATATATATATATATATATATATATATATATATATATATATATATTTCTTATGCAATAGCATTTGAAATTCATAGGTGGTATACATCAAATTATGGATTCATTTTGTTTGCAATTAGACATATTAGGCTCTCTAATTATATAATTTTTTGTATAACATATAATGTAAATTACCTTATTGGCTGACTCACAAGTGATCTCATATCAGAGTCATAGATATTAATAATTCACATCCCAAAAGTCGTAAACCAAAAAATCATTGCTCCATTTAAAGATTAAGCAAAAATAAAAAAAATCTGGGAAAAGATTTTAATCTTTTGTGGTTCACTGAAAGGGAAATAATTTTCTTTAATTGACTTTATCTCGTCAAAGACATGTCTATTTCATTTTCCTCTTCACTCTAACTTTATTATAAAAAAACTGGATCACATATTCATTTTAAATTAAAAAAAACTTTATAAAAAACAAGAAAAGTTTGGAAATAAACTAATATATTTTTTTTTATTTTTAAGGTTTAACCTGCTTTATATTTTTTAATTTAACGGATGGTTGGGTCTTATTTTAAAAGTAGTCTACATTTTATTATTCTCCTAATCATGTTTCTAGATGACAGTTACTGATTATTGATTCACACATGCACGCACACACACACACGTACACACACTTGTACACACACACACACTCATATATATATATATATATATATATATATATATATATATATGTATTCAAGCATTCATTTTTCATTTTTTTCTCTTTACGGAATCATATCTGATATCTGGGTCAATTCAAGTGGTAAAATTACTTTTTAATTGCAGTAGAAAGCAAAAGAATAAAATAAAATGAACAACTTCTAAAAATGTTCTTTTCGTGGAATTTCGGTGATGTGACATCATTAGTATTATACATTGATAGTTCCAGATAATTTTCCAGAGAAAAAATACTATAATTATGTTCAGAAAATCATGGAGTATTCTTTATCTAAGAGAAGAAAAAATTGAGGCAAGTCGGGATCAACAAAAAATTAGCAGAAAACATTTACATACTTACTAAAAGTCATTTTATTTTATTTTTAACTAGAAACCATTATGTAATTAAAAATCTAATCTAGACAAAGAACAAAAGAAATGAAATGATTTTCTAACATCTGAAAAATAACAGTACTTACCTTGATGAGAAGGAAAATTTGACTGAAGTAATGCAGTAAGGATGTGAATTTCAAGAGATGCAGTTGCAGCTGCTTAAACTATTAAATACCAACTATGGCTGTTGGCAGTCTATCGCTGATGAAATTTATAAAACTTCTGAAAGTAACTAGCATAACTAGCTAATAGAATTATAAATTCTCATTGGCTGAATTGTTAACCAATCGGAATTGATTCTCTTAATACACATTTTACACATTCCCTGTCTCTTAATTATTTTTTCTCATTATTTCATATTTCAATATGTCATAATAAGTAGTCTGTTGTGTTGGTTTATAGTGTTGATTAGTTTGTGGAACTATTATGTTCCAAGTGGCTTTATTATATAAACAACTTATATAGAAAGATAAGCAAGAAATTTTGGTGATAAATGTTAGAGACATCAAATTCATTCTACATTGAATGCTCCATAAATATGGCTTTGTGTTGAAGCAGTCATGACTGAAGTATGAATAGAAACTGCATTTATACCTTCATCTCTTTCATTCCCACTCTTTTTTCTCCACCCTTATTTTTCTTTTTTTCTCTCTCTATTTATTTAGCCAGAGAGATAGGTTGCTTGCTATCTTGTTAGTGGTCTCACACTGTTCATATCTATCTTTCTATCTATTTATCTATCTTAGTCTCTTCATATCTATTTATGTATCGACCTTTTTATCTGTCTTAGTAAATTCATATCTATCTTTTTATCTCAGTCAGTTCATATCTATCTATCTATCTATCTATCTATCTATCTATCTATCTATCTATCTCAGTTTGTTCATATCTATGTGTATCTTAGTTTGTTTATATCTATATAACACAGCTCATATTCATGTATCAATTGATCAATCTGTCACAGTTCATATCTATCTACATGAGTCTGTTCATATCTCAGTCTATCTCAGCTTGTTCATATCTATTTATCTATTTCAGTGTGTTCATATCCATTAATCTATCCACTATCTCAGTCTGTTCATATCTATCTATCTATCTATCTATCTATCTATCTATCTATCTATCTATCTATCTATCTCAGTTTTGTTCATATCTATGTGTGTATCTTTGCTCATATCTATATATCTCAGCTGATATCCATCTATTAATTGATCAATCTATCACAGTTCATATTTAACTATCTACATCAGTTTGTTTTATATCTATCAATCTATCTCAGTATGTTCGTATCTATCAATCAATCCACCTATCTAATTCTGTTCATATCTATCTATCTATCTATCTATCTATCTATCTATCTATCTATCTATCTATCTATCTATCTATCTATTATATATATATATATATATATATATATATATATATAAATTTGCTTGAGGATGAAATGGAACTAATGTCTTTAATTTAATCACAAAATTAAATTCGGGGCTTTTAGCTTCCATTTTTGAAACATGGTTAGAACTGTGTAGCGAAAAAAACATATTTTAAATCAATTAATTTATAATATTAATGCTCTGTAAATTTACATTGAGCACTATTTTGTAAAAATAAAAATATCTATAAGAACACCGGATTATATATCTTGTTGTTCTTTCCTTTTATTTATATACATATATATATATATATCTATATATCTATATATATATATTTAGTACAGGTAATCAATCCGTTGGTATATAATCTGGGTGTATCCTAGTAATATTAATTATTAAAATTGATCCACAGAGAACTTGATGATGCATTTATTATAACAAAGCATATGTACTTTTTTTAAAATATCTTTTATAATATATATATATATATATATATATATATATATATATATATATATATATATATATATATAATTATTTAAAATTATAATGTTAATATGTTATAACATCATTATTAAAATAGCCATTTTATTTAGAAACAAAAATGGCTATTTTTGTAGTGATGTCGTAATATACTTATGTTATAATTTTTAAATAAATATTACTTGCTCTACATTGGATTGAACACTTTTTAAAAAATAGTGTTTTTGGTTGCTGTAATTTTATTTTATTTGTATTCATGTATATATATATATATATATATATATATATTGACCTTTTTTATCTGTCAGTATATTCATATCTATCTTTTTATCTCTGTCTGTTCAAATCTATCTGTGTATCTTAGTTTGTTCATATCCATAATCTTAGATCAATTGATGAATTACAGTTCACATTGATCTGTGTCAGTCTTTTCATATCTATCTATCTATCTATCTATCTATCTATCTATCTATCTATCTATTTCACTGTTCATATCTTTCTATCTATTTATCCCCTCTCAGTCTCTTCATATCTATCTATCTATCTATCTATCTATCTATCTATCTATCTATCTATCTATCTATTTCACTGTTCATATCTTTCTATCCATTTATCCCCTCTCAGTCTCTTCATATCTATCTATCTATCTATCTATCTATCTATCTATCTATCTATCTATCTATCTATCTATCTATCTCACTGTTCATATCTTTCTATCCATTTATCTATCTCAGTCTCTTCATATCTATCTATCTATCTATCTATCTATCTATCTATCTATCTATCTATCTATCTTTTTATCAGTCTTAGCATATTCACGTCTATCTCTCTATCCCCATCTGTTCACATTTATCTATCTCTGTCTGTTCACATCTATCTGTGTATTTTTGTTTCATCTCTATAATCTCAGCTCATATTCATCTATCAGTGATCAATCTATCACAGTTCACAATTGATCTATGCCAGTCTTTTCATATCTATCTATCTATCTATCTATCTATCTATCTATCTATCTATCTATCTATCTCAGTCTGTATCTATCTCTATTTCTGTTGTTTATAATTTTTTTGCTATCTATTTCCGAATATTACTCTATATTTTTTCTTCCTTCATTGTTTTAATTTTTTTGTTAATACTTGCCTTCAGCCCATGTGTGTGTCTGCATAAAATGCTTGCTTGTACATTAATTTAGTTTTCATTCCCAATATTACATTTTAATGGATGACTATCAAGTGTGGTACGCTGGGTACCAAATGTTTGATCTGATGTTTTCTTCCAGCAAAGCATATAAATGCCACAAATATTTAAAAAAGATAGAAATGTAAAACTAGTTAAAAAAAAAAGAACCAAATTTGGCATTCACATCATATCCCACAACCAGTACGGCCTGAGCTAAATATTCTCACTCATATCTGGAATGTTGGTATTAACAAATCTTTCTTGATCTGATATTCATCTTCTGGTGGATACTGCCAATTTGAAACGAACACTTTTGATTATTATTTATTTTAAATTTCATGTATTTAACTTGATTTCCATTGTTTTTCATTTTTTTTGCCATTATATATCAGAATATTACACTCTGTTTTTTATCTTCCTTAATTGTTTTAATTTTCTCCTTATAATTGCCTCAGCATGTGTATACATGTGTATGTGGATATATATATATATATATATATATATATATATGAAGAAAAATATACTGAAAAAACAAACAAAAATCCTAACATGCGATTATGCTGCTTTAATGTTTAATGTCAACGTTGGACGTTTCGGTCTAATAGACCATCTTCAGGACATATTCATAAAATATAATTAACATAGACCATATACAATTCAACATGAAAAAGACGATGGACATAAAAGCAATACCAATCCAAACAGATAACTGAAATGGATTGGTATTGCTTTTATACAGTTACCCGACCCTGTGGTTATATGTGGTCTATGGGGAATTTTTGCCTGGGCCTATGGACTCATTTTGGCCCCACATTAAAAAATGGCCTTGTACCACATTTTGCATCACGGGGAGGTAAGGTAAATAACCTTGCTTCAGGAATTCCTAGCCTGCCACCTGATTCGTTGTCTTTCAGTAGTGTATTCTCTTTGACAATAAACCTCTTTTTCTTTCATCAATGTGTGTGTTGCTGTTCCTTCACTTGAGTACCACCTTTGTCTGTTTGTAAGGATACAACAATTCTTATGCCTTTAATTATAACTCTATTTTGCTTTCATCACTAAAAATTACTTTTTGCCACTTTCCAGCATCCCATGTAATGTTCTTTTGACCCCTTTCTTCTATTCTGATATTTTTGGGCTAATGATGCTTTTTTTTGCTGCTATATGCCCATTCAAGTTGTTTTTTTCATAATGCTCTGTGTACTGGATCAACTGAAACCTCTGTTAAAATAGCATTCACTTCTCAGTTGTTAATTTTAGATTGACTACTCCTGAAACTCTCACAATCTTTCTTTCATCTATTTTGTTTAATTTTTGTGGTTTTATAGTTTTCCTTGTGTTTAAAACACTTCCACTAGTAGCAAATGTCTTTTGGATTGTTTGAACTCTGTTTCTAGAAATTCCCACCTACATGGTTATCTTTCATTGAGTCATCTCCCACCTCAAAGACACAACTTTCACCTTTGTTTATTATTTTTTGTTATACTTAAATAATATAAAATAATTAAAAACAATAATTAATAAAATAAAAGTGTAGATAAATAGATAAATATTATAATAGTCTAGGTTTGTCTTTTATGCTTAATTTTTGGGAGAAGTGTATTTAAAAGAAAGCTACATGGTTTATAAAAAATAAATTTAATGTGCTACATTTGTCTGTTAAAGTTTCTAAATTTAGAATTGACTCAAAAAGAACCACTTGGTCAAGCTGCACAGTTTGTGATATTATTTTTCAAATTTAAAAAAATATATACACTTTGTATTTATTATTCATTCAAAAGAGTGGCTACCTCCCATGTAAATTTAAAGTTAAGATCCGTCTGGAGCCTCTCTTATATATATTATAAGATGGGTTGGATAACTTCAGGATGTAAAGAAAATTTTGCTGAAGTCAAACAGACATGAAAATGTTATCCTGAAAGCAGAAAAATAAAGTTCTAGAAGAAAAAACTATTTTTGACAGTCACCTGTGTATGAGCTGGACTTTTTCCCTCAGAAGACTTGTTAAAAGTCCTAGTGATGTAAGTGAATGTTGCTAAAGCATTGTTTTTCTTTGTCTTTAGGTGGGTGCACTTTTTTAAAGAGTATTTTTACCCTTATCTAAAGGTTTTGTATTATCTTTACTGGAAATTTGTATTGACTATCTTTAAGAGCCTATAATTTTCTTATTTAGATATGTTATCTTGCCTTTTTTTTAATGAGCTGTACAAAAGAAAGTTTTTGTCCAAGCCTTTTATGTAAAAATTGTATTTTGTTATATTGCTTTAATATTTATGCAATAAATATTTGTCCATTTTAAAATTTCACTTAGTAGCTTCAATTCTTGTTTGTTTTTGCATGTGCCTTTTTCTATAATTGGGATAAGAGAGGTGAAGTTCTCTCCCATTTCCTCTCAGGCAAAAAAAATCCTTGTAATATTTTTTGTTCAGACATTAATAATGGAGGCCAAAAACATAGCTGAGAAAATGAATCTGAAAATAAAAAAAAAAAAGTAAGGATGAAAATTCAGATCCTAATGGTACTGACCAGAATTTCATAAAAATTTTGACTAGATGGTGTAATGAAAAGCTATTTTTTGCTATCAGCTTTGGATAAGCTGGGCTTTTTCTCACAGAAGTAAATGGAAAAAAATGTTAATCAAGTGAAACAAGAACAAAACTATGTTCTAATGAAGAAAAAATTGCTAAAAGTCCCAGTAACGCATGTGGTTTTACCAAATCCTCCTTCTGTCTTTTTCATCTTTTGATTAGGTGAGTACACCTTTTTTAAAACCTTATTTAAAGTTTTCGCATTACCTTCTGAAGGGTTTTCCAATATTTGAAGATTGTATTGTAAATGTCTGTAAAAGTTTTTATATATTTTATCTGCCTTTACTAAAAAGGTACACAAAAGGAAATTTGTGTGCAAGCCTTTTATATAAAAATTGTATTTTGTTATACTGCTTTAATTTTTATGCAATAAATGTTTGTCTGCTTCAAATTTCACATTGTAGTTTTGAGTCTTGTTTATTTTTTCATGTGCTTTTTTCTATAATCAGGATGAGAGAGATGACGTTCTCTCTTCTCTCATTCCTTGCAAGGGATAGAAATCCTTTTATGTCTCGGCATTAATTTTAATACTGATTTTAGTGCTAAAAACCAAGCTAATGTTTAACTGCAATGACTTGCCAAGACACCTTACACTCATGTTTATATCAGGTTGTTGCAGACTGGTGATTGTGTTTAAATTGATCAGAAGGAATTTCGAGGCCGTGTTCTACAACATTCGTCCACAACAATTATTTAAAACAAATACTTGGAACAAATCATGCAAATAAAGTTGAAAACAAGACAAAAGTTGAATGCATAACAATAACATCAATTTATATACAATTTAATATACTGTGGGTTTAAGATTTGATGGATAAATGAGGATTAGTGTATTTAATTGTGTATTGTGTTGTTGTGAATGTTTGGGTTCGTTTGCAGGTATTGATTAGATTTGTTCACAGAATTAAACTGTTTGTTTGATCATTTACAAAAATGTTCGGTGTTGAGGTTGAATCGTTAGTGTATGTATGTAAGTGTGTTTATACAAATATTCAAAGTTGTTCAAAGTTGCGTACCTTTATCTGCTTGAGAAAAATAGATTGTTAGTTACTGATACTTGTCATGTAGTGAGAAATATCACTTTGAAAGTATAGTAAGTGAAGTTTGAGAAATGTTCTAGAGAGAGATAGAGTGTGCCCAAAGGTTGCTGAGTCAGAGAATATTTTTACGCAGCAAAGTCAGAGTTTTGACTGGCGTGGAGTTAAGGGGCATCTCTCTGGTGAATTGGACTGAAATTCGTCCTTTTATTTGATTTGGGAAACCAAAGTAGGCTCCCAGTGGCCTGGTGGGAAAACAGATTTTTTGACCATGGATACACATTCTAGGGTCGTCTCGACCAATGACAAGCCGAGTTTCACAATGTGTGGTGTTGATTGGTCAAAGCTAATTCTTATAGAAGAGTCTATTTTTAGCGGGGCTGAGTAGACAAACATTGACGATTCTATAAGGTCATCCCATAAGTTCTGTCCGAATTTTAACTTTTTGTTAAAATGAACAAAATTTAAAGAGTATTTTATAATGTCTAATGGAGCTGAACATTATTTTTATGTTTAGATGCATTTAAACTGATCAAATTTTATTTCAGAGAACAATAAAATTAAATTTTTGTTTGATTAAAACCCTGCTAACATGGAAGTACCCAAGAATCATTTGAGGCACATAATGCTTTATGAGTTCAAGAAAGGAAACTCAGCAGTGAAGCGGCTAGAAACATTCATTCAGTTTATGGAGAGGATGTGTGAATGAAAGAACTTGCAGAAGATGGTTTGCAAAATTCAGAGGTGGAGATTTCACCCTTGAAGATGAAGATCGAACCGGACGTCCAGTTGAGTTTGATGATAAGCTTCTTGAAGCAGCCCTTTATCAGTTTATAGGATACAAATCCTATATCATTCTAACAAGTGACTAAAAAACACAAAGTAGATTTGCACACCCACAAAATCGGATCAAAACGATTAAAAAAAGATTTCGCAATAAGGTGTGAAATTAATTTTCTGACCAATGAAAGGAGACGATTTGCTAAACCAAAAAAAAGATAACGAGCCAGTGTGAAAAAAAGTCAACAATAAATACAGAGTTTCAAGTCAGTTGCCAAGTCAGAAGGGCGCAAAGATCACAGAAGATTGACAGTAAATTTCATCACTGACTCAACCCGACACAAAGAGCCGAAAGTGGAGTAGGAAAGGACAACAACAACAACAACAACAAATTTACAACTGACTACAAAACAATTCATAATTACATTTTCCTTTTATCTTTATTCCTCATTCACACTCTCTTTTTCAACTTAAATTGATAGCCCCTTTTTCCTTTACACATATACAAAAACAAAAGAAACAGACATTACTCTTCTAAGACAGCGAACACAGACATTTTTATCAAAATCACATTTTGCTTAAACGAACTAAAGCATTAATCTTTTTTACCCTATTCACAAGATAATAAATATACAATGTTCTATTTTCTACAAACGTTCCTTATCGTGTTGTTTCTTGAAATTTGCGTTGTATTTTGTGGGCAGGGTATCCCATATTAAAGTTTCCTTTAATCCGGGTATGCTGAACCCCACAAGTTGAGGAATTGGCAATGGTTCTCAGTTCAAATTATACAACTGTTCATCGTCATCTTCAACAACTTGGAAAAGTTCCTAAACTTGGAAAATTGGTGCCTCATGAATTGTCTGAAAACAACTTCAAATCCCGAGTTGACATCTGCTCTTCTCTCCATTCTCACCAACTTGTTTCACCTTTTTTGGATAGACTTGTGACTGGTGATGAAAAATGGATCTTTTATCGAAATGTTAAGCGTCGTAGACAGTGGCTTGGTGAAGAGGAAGGACCCCAGCCACAGCCAAGAAGGGAACTTCATGGGCAAAAGGTTCTTCTTTCAATCTGGTGGGATCGCCAAGGAATAATCCACTTTGAATTCTTACCACCTAATGCAACAATTAATGCTCAGCAATTAGAGCATTTGAAGCAAGCTTTGAGGAAAAAAAGACCTGCTCTACTGAATCGAAAAAGGTGATGTTTCATCAGGACAATGCGTGACCCCAATACAGCAAGAATCACGTCACAAAAGATCGGACTTGGTTGGGAGAAAATTCCTCATCCACCTTATTCTCCCGATCTTGCTCCTTCAGATTTGTTTTGTAGCTTACAGAATCATTTGGAAGAAACAGCTTTTGTAACACAGGAAGAGGTTAAAACTGACATTTGTGAGTTCTTTGAATCAAAGCCAAAAGAATTTTACAGCAATGGAATTAGTAAGCTTGCTAATAGATGGAAGGAAGTCATAGATAATCAGGGAAAATACATTGTTGATTGAATCTGTAATTAAATGTAACATTGTTTTCTTTATTCAAAATTCGGACAGAACTTATGGGATGACCTGATACATGAAAATATAGCAATTATAAAATTGTCTATTACAAAGTAGTGTTGATTTATTATCCAATGAATGCTTGTTGTTGTATAATTTAAATTTGTGTAAGTATGTATGTATGTGTGTGATGATGATGATGATCAATACAGTATCCTGTGAGGTCAAAGGACACATAGAAATACTGTTACCCCTGTCCAAAAATGTGAAAAATCAAACCTAAAGATATATGAAAGACCAGCAGTGTAATAATCAAGAATCTGTTACATATGCTTAAAATAATTTTTAAACCCTATTATTGTAGTGAGAAAACGAGCGCAATCTAAATTAACTGAAGGAAGCGTGTTCTACTGGGCTTACTTACGAAATATGTATAAGGGGAGATAATCACTACCACACTACAAATAGTTTAAACTTTAAATGCTTTCATTAAAACTTAATTGAATAAATTTGAAGGCGTTAAAGCGTTACCTAAAAAAAAAAATTATAAGGAAAAACATTTATTCTGAGAGTAAATTTTAGAAACATTACAGTGTCTGTAAAGTATTTTTTAAACAAATGAAATAGTTTCGTCGTAATTCTTACAATATTCTTAAATGCAGGAAAAAGAGACACGCGAAAAAAAAAACTCACTCGTATCGATGGAGCGAAAACAGTGCTTTTATACAAAAACTGATCAAACGGATGAAATTATAATTCAATATCGGAAGAGTATTATTAATAATAATTAATAATACTCTTCCGATATTGAATTATTAATTATTATTAATAATACTTCCGATATTGAATAGTGGTCAATCAAAGCGAGATAATTATGTCCCTATTGTTACAATATGTACAATACTTACTAAAACTAGTTGCTAAAAGGAAAAAATAAAATAAAATTCTTTTAAAAAAGGTTCCCACTAAAAAATGACATTAAATTTTACGTTTTTTGAATCTTCAAACACGTCTTTAAAAGAAACTCCTGTGACAAACAACGAGATTAATTTTCATTTCAGCATCTCACTGAAAAATTACAAGTCATTTTTAAAAAATAAAGTGTAGAGATTTTATTAAAATTTCTGTCCAACCTGGAATAAAATAACGCGTAAATTATGCAAGAACGAATTTTCAAAAAATAATTTTTCGAGCTTTATTGAATTATTTTTTGGTAAGATGACGACTGAATTTACCGTACGTTTACATTTGCTGTTGCATATTGGCATAAACTTTTCGCTGAAATAATATCGTCAGGGATTTTTCTTTATATAACAAAAAAAAAAAAAAAAAAAAAATTACGAACATTCCCCAAAATTAGTACACTCACAATATCGAAAAGTGGGGGTGAAAGGTGAAAAAATATTTCTCCAAAGTCTTTTAACTTTTAATAATAAAAAAATAGTAAGACATCCATTCTTTAATGAATAAGTACTGTAAATTTCATTTGAATCGGATAATTTCCTGATCTTTTGTCAAATATTTTAAAATAGAAGGTAGCGATTTTTTGTTTTTAGTTCGGGAAAAAAACATCCATTTTTGGATTTTTGGTGGTCCTAATATTTATCGGGGACAAGATTTATTCGACACTGTCGAGTGAAAGTCACCGGTTTAAAGTAACCATGAGCTTTTTAAGATGTTAATAATTGCAACATCCGTAATTCTTTCAAAGATCAAAAATACAGTGTGCTGAAAATTTTAACATTTATTATGTCGAGTCTGAAGTTGCCTCCTATAGCAACAGTCGGGGAGGTACTACGCCTTTATCGTATCAGGGCGAAGAAACAACTTTCCCAGAACTTTCTCCTTGATATGAACATGTGTCGAAAAATCGTCAGGTCTGCTTCACACTTAAAGAATCATTATGTGTGTGAAATTGGACCAGGACCAGGTGGAATTACTCAAGCCATTATTGAAAAAAATTGTCGACACCTGACTGTCATCGAGAAAGATGCTCGTTTTTTACCTTCTCTAAAGGTACGTCATGATTTGGTTGGGTATAAAAAAGAGGGCCTAAAAATTGTTCAACAAAGTACTCTAAAAAGAGAAAAAAGTAAAAAAAAAAAATAATAATAAAAAAGTCTAGCTAGAATCTGGGACATAAAACCGGGGACATCATTTGCATGCACAAAAAAACAAACAAAAATGAAAGCAATTTTGTTAATAATAATAATTAATACACTTTCTTGGGCTACCCTAACTCAAAGATATCTTGAGTGGTTGATTTTATTTTAAAAGTGACTACCTAGTTATTCGAAGCAAACAGTAGATCATTGGTTCAGATTTTGTAGGATGTCTGTTGCAACTTCACTGAAAAAATAAACGATAAAAATAAAATTGGTGGTCCAGACAAAATGGAGACTGATGAAACATTGATTGTCAAAAGAAAATATATAACTGCAGTCGAATGCTTCATCAACAATAGCTTCCTTGGAGGAATTGAAAGAAATTCTTAAGAATTTAAATTACTTCTTGTAAAATGTGTTCCTGATAGATCGAGAAGTAGTTATCCGTATTGAACAAGGTTCTGTGATCATTAGCGATGGTTGGTCCGCTTGAATTTAGGAAAATTCGGTAACTAAAATAAAGAAAGTCGACTGAAAATTGATTTTAGGGCCGTTTTGGTGTGGGAATTTGGGGACTAAGCCCCCGCCACTATATTTTTAAATAACGTGAAAATCGAGGGATCCAGATAAAACCCCACTACAACAATACCAGGGCCGTACTTGCAGAAGTGGGGGTTAGACTCCTTCCCCAATATTTTTAAAAAGTTATTTACTATGGGGGTCTAGATAAAACCTCATTACAACAATACCAGGGCCGTACTTTCTGAACGGGACTAGCCCCACCCCATGTTTTAAAAAAACAAAAACAAAAAGACATTGATTCCAGTCCAGATAAAACACAACAATATCAGGATCGTACTTCTCGGATGCGGCGTTTAGGGGGGGGGGGGCAAGCCCCGCACTCCCATCCAATATTTTAAAATACTTATTTAAAAAAATAAGTACTATATTCTTGTTTTCCAGCAAGTAAAATCGATTTTTATCTAAGTTCTTTTACCTTCTTTTCAAATTATTATTTTAATAAAAAAAAAGTAATGTAAATATATTATTTCATTTTAAAAGAAGCAAAAACTAATCTGCATTTCTATTTAAAAAATACAGAAGAGGAAGCTTAGCCCCCCAGATCCCCACTCCAGAACGGCCCTAAAATCAATTTTCAATAGACTTTCGTAGTTACCGAATTTTCCTACTTGTCAAAATTATCGAATTTTCCGGACACTGGTCTGCTTATTAAAAAAAATGATCTGAGGTACAATCACAAAGTTAATTCATGAAAATAATTTTGTTTATTTACGAATATTTCATACTCAAACTATAGAATAACTGACTTAAAGAGTTTTCTTAGAGAAAAAAAGAACCAACAAGACTGGGAATATCTGAATTAGTGAAAATTTCGAAAATATATTTTTAAAAAAAAAAAAAAAAAACAATAATAAACGAAAAAAAAAAAAAAAAAAAAAATTAACTCGCAAATTATGGTTCCTATTTTATGGCTCCGATTCTAGACTTTTACCAAGAAAAATCTTATTCTTTATAGCTTATTTTTAATTTTAGATGATAAAAAAATTAAACAACTGATGTGTAGTGTTGTTCTTGTTCAGTGTTCTTCGAAAGGTGCCTCAGTTAGTTGAACGGCTTGACTACCGTTTATTGGGTACACTTGGGAAAAGCATTAGCGATTTATCATCTGCTTATTAAGTCTATTTTTTTTATTTTTATTTATTTATTTTTTGATACATTATTGTTCCTCAAATACAACGACCCAGAGTCACTCAAGGTAGAGGGTTACTGAATGATTGTTAAGGGAGGTAAAGTGCAAAAGCAAAACGAAAGTAATAATTTAAATTAAATTCCATACAGCGAAGTTAGGGATTTTTTTTTTTTTTTTTTTTTTTTTATATGACATCGGATCATTTGATGCCGAAAAAATTTAATGTTTCTTCCTAAATAAAGCTTTGAAACTGTCAAAAATCTTTTGTACTGTTGTTAGTTACGGTTATAATATATTTTTTTAAATTATATTTCTGAGATCAGTTTTTCATAGAAACTGGAATAAAGTAAGTAAAGTGGATCAGAATTTTGAGAAAAATCTTTAAAGTTTGTTGTTTGGTAGTATTTTAAGCGGATTGAATTAAATAAAATTGCTGCAGTTTGTCAGTATGTTTTTTTTTTTTTTTATAGTTTGTGGCCCTTCTTGGCATGCTGCACATACCGGAGGTTCTTTTTTTTTTTTTTTTTTTTTTTTAGGATAATGGCTTATGGTAGTTAGTATGTCCAATATGGAGCACTTTTCGTATTAAAAAAAATCTAATTATCTAATAAGCTGACAATTCAATAAAATAAAAAATATAAATATTTTTTTTATCTTTGAGTTTTAGCGTGTGAAATGTTTCGTATGTTAATATTTTTTAAATCATTATTTATTTACTATTTATTAAATACTGATTTTAAAAAATGCCATATCCCTTTTTTTATCTGTGAATTGTAATGCATTCTTGGGAAAGAAAGAGAGTTGAGAAATGGTTCTCATTGCCTTTTAACCACGATCTTACTTTTTTAAATTTAGACTTCCTTTTTAGAGCAGTTAGGTAGACTGTAAACCCATTCCTAGAGAGTTCATTCTACTCTGCTATTTAACCCATAGCTGGTTTAGGTGTAGAAGAGACAGATTCATATCTTTCCAACGGACATTAGTGTGAAAGTGAATGCAACGGATTAGTCCGCAATTTGAACTCTGTCGATTCCACTTTCCGCATCGATTTCCATCACACGAGACGCACAACCCAAAATACTGAATTACCTCCCTTAGATTGCATGACAAAACTTTCAATTTTGAGCACACATTTTGTAGAATAAAAATAATTAAAAAGTTCGGACTGCTTCTTTCGGCTTACAACAAAATCTCAAAGTTTATATACGTGTGCTTGAAATTCTAAAATTTAATATATATAAATTTGGCTCTATGTGTGTGCAAATATTGCATAAAACTGAAACATCAAATGTAGTTTTATCATTGATGTTTATCACCATCTTATTCAATTTGGTTGTTCTTGCTTAATGGAATTAAGTAAATTGTATATTTAGCTTTAAAAATCAAACTTTACAAAATGACTTGTCATTCATTTCCAAGATGGACTTTAGTGTTCATTATAAATATTGCATATACTTGTGTATCGTGACTTTTGAAAACCTTCTCTCAATGACGGGCCAATCAAAATTGTGGCATTGCATCACTCATATCCACTTTCAGTGGAACATTTTCCATGTTTTGGAAACTCCCCCTCATTTGACTTGATTATCACAGGTGTCATCATCAATTCTATATGTGTTATATCCCTGATTAACACAAATCTGACCTATAAAGATTTGCTTTGTGTCACTCATTTTACCTGAAAAATTCCTTTATCAAATGAACACTTAAATTAAACAGACATAAGACTGTACCTAATAACCAATCCCATCCAAACTTACAATTTCACCTCTCACACTATACTCTATAAGATAATTCATGGTATTGAATTGTTTGAACATGAAAATATTTTTCTTTCTTTAGAAATAAAAAGTAGACTGCCAGTCAACCTGTGATGTCAGTCATAGTGTCATACAACATCTATATGTTTTCTGCTTATCGTAAACTAAATTGAAAATACAGGAGAGAATTTAATAATAATAATCAGCAGTGTGCTTTGGCCTGCCATGAGGATATGATTTTTGTGTTGAGTAAATTACATTATGACTTTCATCTGAAAGTTCTTGAGACAATTTTTATTAAATTGAGGCAACTTCTGTGTACACTAAAGGAATGGTTGCTGGATCTCTGTGTGATCTGTTTATAGTATAAATATACATATGTTAATATATGTGTATTTCTTATTCTCATTTTCCCAACATTCTTTTAGTCATTGTGCACAGTATTTTATTTCCTTTGAGGAGAGAGGAACAAAAATTAGTCAGATTTTTCAAATATTTCTTTTCTCTCATTTAAGTTGCCATTTATGGTAGCTGTATTTTTTTATTCAAATTCCTCTTTAAAAGTTTTTGTTTTCATAGAATTTTTCTTTTACCAGATGAGTTTTTTTTTTTTTTTTTTTTTTTTTTTTGAGAGTTTTTCTTTTTCTTTTTTAACCAGATAAGAGGTTATAGTTTCAGTTTACCTTTTCTGCATTACCAAACTAAATAGTTCAGGCAGTAGAAAAGAAAAATTAGGATTGTATTATTGCATGTTGTTCCTGGGTTCTCGTGGTCAATCACCAGTATTTCAGTAGGAACCCCAATGTTGCATCAACAAACTCAATGACAGACAATTTTTTAAAGTTTCCTTTTTAATCATTTTATTTTTGGATTGGGAGCTACATTAGGCATCAGCTCTTGGAGGAAGCAAGGGAAAGACAGAACAGATGACCTGAGGATGACCAGTTACCCATCCACTTCACATGGGGATTTGTGTTCTTGCTGAAAGCAGAGTATCCAAATGAATCTGGGAGAGGAATATCAGAGGTTACGACTTCTCTACTGTTGCACTTGAACTGCTTGTTTTCAATTGATACTCATTTATTTGTTTCTAATGAAATTTTCCTGATCCTTAATACTTCGCTTAGCTTCTGGAAGGCATAGTTTGCTATCCCAATGTGCCTTCAGATTTTGGTGTTACCTTTTCTGTCCTCTGTTAAAACAACATAGATATTAAATTTTAATTCTTTTCTTCATTTTGGTATTTCCAATTTGTAAATTTGCACATTGGGCCATCCCTTTTGCAGGAAAAACATACATTGTCTTCTTACAATTGGTGTTTAGTCATTTCTTCTTGTTTTCCTTTACTACCTTCTGCAGAAGTCCTGGTAGTTTTCTTTCCGAGGCTATCAAAACTATCATCTGCATATCTTATGTTGTTAAGATTGTGGCTACCAATAA